CGGACCAGTGGTACTTGGCCGGCTTCCGGCGGCGCACCAGGGTGCCCGCAAGCTGCCACCTTCCAACACTGGAAGCAGCACCAAGGGGGTGCCGTCTCCGTCCCTGTAGGGCTCCAACTGCTTCCTGAGAAGGTGGGCCAGGGGTGGGTGCCAGGGGGGTCGAATACCACGCCTGAGGATGGACAGGAGCCCTTTCAAGGGCCCTTTCAACCCACACCGTTCCACACCGCTTCGGTCCACACCACGTCGAGATCCGATGGGATGGACATGGATGGAGGCGAATCCCAACCCGTCTGGGACTGCCATGTCGGATCCCGCCGAGAAACGGCCGTTGGGGTGGTGGTGGTGCCAGGGGGGTCACATGGAGTGTCTGGGCTAATTCATTAAGCAGCTTCAAGATGGTTGAACCATCGATGTTTGGGAGGCTTTGAGGAATCCAGATTCGACCTCCCAGCCTACCCAATCCGCCATTCAGTGGCCAGTTCCTTGGAGATGTTTGGGGCGTGGACCGGTCCACAGCTCCGGGGCGATGCTTTCTGAGATGCCGCAGGACCTCCGCACCACGGACTCATCCTGACGAACCCATCCGGTGCATCGTGCAGTGAAAACCCTGCTGTCTTTGAGTCAGGTACAGCAGTCGAACCTTCGGAGGGGCCATTGCACTTCTTTCGTCGTGTTTGCCCACGACAAAGGGGGGCTGAACAGCCGGAGGCTACGGGGACCCCAGACCCCCTCCCCCAGTCCTCACACCGTCTCACACCGTCTCCAAGGAGATCAACCATCGCAGCTTGTGCTTGAACTGACGAGAAAGCGTAGACAAGTCCTTGTTGAGAACTCTGGTTCTTGAAGGATTTTCGTAAACCCTCGTATAGATCAATGTGTGATGGAATATTCCTGAATCCTCGAGGCGTTCAAGGATGGTTTAGGGATGTTTAGGGTTCAATGTGTTGTTGATTATGGTTTGTTGCTTATAAATTTGTTGAAACTGTCCGATGAGCGACAACCACCATGGATGGTGGTGGTATATGGTAGTATCTTAGGTTCGATGTAGATTGATGCTCGACGGAGCGAGTTTCTCATGAGGACCCCAAACAGGGACCTTAGATGTACCCCCTGAACTTGGTTCCTGTTTTGTGATCCAGTTTGTGGGAGGGTGCTTGAAGGAGGGCCGGTCGCCTCGCATGGATGGGCGTGAATGCTTTGCGACCGGCCCCGAAGAACGTCCATCTCCTCGTTGCCCCGAACAGAAGGCGCCATCCTTCCGGTCCGAGGCTGAACGAAGGACGAACGAAACGGCGGCATCGACGGTGTGTAGGTCATCCGGATGAAGCCGGCTGACCCGTTACGGTTCCCTGAGACGTTTTGGGGGGTAAAAATGACGATCCGGCATATTCTCCTCCAATCAGAGGGTATTCCACTTCCATGTTAAGTGCGAGGGAGTGTGGCTTGGGCCATGTTGGGCCCGATGTTGGTCATCCAAGCACTCCAATCAAGTGGGCGCAGGTCAGGTGTGTCACTACTCAGGCGCCGTCCTTGGAACTCGTCATCCGTGAGAGCCAACGAAAGATCACCTCATGCCAAGGGCCCCCGTTATAAGGGGTGTCCAATTATGGCTCCTCAGAGGTGATTCGGGATGTCCATGAAGACCACCAAACAGGGGGCCCTGGTATGTCATTCTCATGCGTACATGGCCTCGGAATGAAACAACATCCTGCCCCATCCCGCCCCATCCCGTGCGCCGTCCCCGCGCCACACGCACCGAAAACGAGCTGAGGAATGGTCATGTTGCCCATCTTGGCCTGCCTCTATTCCTTGGCTGCCTTGATTACTCTCAGGTTAAAGCCTGGAACCGGTGCCACGTCACAGGCACCGGACTCGGCACGCACACCAGAGGTGTCCTTTGCGAAGAACGCCACGTCCACAGAGCTGACGAATATGGCGTAGGGACACACACTTGGATCGGTGTCACACTTGGCCAGTGGGTAGATGTCAAAAGACAGAAGACAAGACATTTATACATGTTTTAACTCTTTGACCTGCTTGGAGTCCCATTTGCAGTTCCCATGTTAGACGTGTTTACGTTCCCACTGGCCGATCTGGTGTTTCACATCCGGTGCCAATGTTCGTAGGGACAGAAGGCCGCCCGAAGTACAGTCCCAAGTAGCTAAGCCCTGAATCTTCCTCCATCAGACCACTGGGGTGGAAGACGAGCATGTTCCAGGACCTTCCCAGTGACCTCTTCAGGATTGGTAAGTGACCTTTTCAAGGCCTAAGTGACCTCATTCTGGGATCTCAAAAGGTCACTGGGAAGGTCCTGGTTGTTGACATTTCTTGAGGACATGGACGAGTTTGTGTAGGTTCTGTTGTAGGTCCTATCAGAGGTTCAACTGCGCGGCCAAGTCAACTGGGCCGACACTTGTTTCTTCCTTCGGGAAGAGAAGGGAGCTTGCGTTCAGTCAAGCCCAGACACTCCATCATCTACTCGATCTTTGCCTAAGAATCCTTGCGCTGTCCATGGCGGGGTCGGACCCTCCATAGCAGGGGCCCGGGACCTCAAAACCCTATTTGTTTGAGGGCCCGGAGTCTTAGGGTTGCCTATATTTGGGATGGTTTGGTTCGGGGTCTTTCTGAGACGGCTAATTTCCAGTCCCGGTGCTTGGGAAGGGCAGGGATAGTGCGGTCACAGCGTGTAGACTGCTGATTCCCCAAAAAAACACACACCAGGACGATCATGAGCGACTTTTGAGTCTGCAAAAGCCTCCATTTTGGAGACCTGTTGGAACGTGCTGGTACTGTATTTGGCTTGTAAAACCTCTCTACGTGGTTGATGAATCAACATATGAGAGCGGGGCCGCTCAGGTGCCCAGAGTGCAGATGGGTGTGTGTCCATCAAAGTACCCAAAGTCTTTGCAGGTGGATTCATTCCAAAAAGCAGTGTGGAGCACGAGCAAGACCTCAGTTAGATTCCTGGATCTACTGTACTTACTGAGGGGCTGGTCAGCACATGTTCCGATGACCATTGAGTTGATCCAGTCCGGACTTGTCCACAGCACCTTGAGCTGTTTAAACCGTAGTTAGTAGTCCTGGGAAAGTTTAAGCATGTTTAAGCTGCGCGGGTGTCGTTGGTTCGGACTTCGGAGAGGCCAGAACAAGCCCCGAAGAGCCTGAAGAAGGGTCCGAGGAAATGCATGTGGACATGTCCTTGTTCCGCTCCTAATTGTTTCGGGTTGAGTGCCAATTGGCCAATGAACTCCAAAAAAGCGACATAGTGGCCAAAGCAATCTTGCCAAAGGAGCGATCGCCCCGTGCGCCGGGGAATTGCTCGCCTGCGGGGGACGGTGGTGTGGCCAATGGAAGGTGCTGGCTGTTCAGAAAAGGCTCAATGCACCATGTGAAAGCCTTCTCAGCCTTGGCCAAAGATGGGGTTTGAGCCACCCATTTTATCCAGCTCAGCTGGTGCAGTCCTTGCACATTTGGGCATTGGATTGTTAACGCGACCTGCCCCTTACAACCTCAATCCCCACCTCAAGCAGACTCATGTATAGAAGATTGCAGAGTGACTGATCAAGCTGTTTTGCATTCAGTCACCTTGAGTCCACCAGCCTACTCAGCTGCCCCACAGGAACCCTTTCACCGGTCGCGCCGGCGGTCTCGCGGGCCGAATCGCAGTGGTCTTGGCTCAACCGGCCGAGTGCACGTTCATCACGCCGTCCGGATATCCACCGTGCCACGCCGTGGCGCGAACCAGGCGAGGTCGACGGCATCACGTTCCACCAGAACGTCGCAAGGACGTTCTGGTAAAGGTGTGAATCAGCTATCAATTGGACGACTCAACAAAGAGAAATATGGAGCCATATATGCAAAGTATATGCTGGCTCCTGCTGCATATGATCGTAATTTAACATGTTTGTGTGAAGTTCCCTGTCACATCCGCCACCGTGGCATGCAGTTTTCGTGGCATGTCCCCCCCCCCCTTCTCCCAAGAATGCTCACCCCCTCCAATGAAGGTGCTCAAGCCGTCACTTTCCATTGCCAAACTGAACCTTCCAACCCTCAGCGGGTGGGGTGACCTGGAGACCTGCGGGATCCCAGCACCACAGACCGAGATGATCCAACCATAGCCATAGCCGCATCAAACCGAACCATACACCGCCGGAGTATGTCCCATGGGTGCATGGGAGAGAAAATGAGACAAACAATCAGTAAAATTAAAAAACGCATCTCACATCAGTAATAACAACAAAGAACAAGAACAACCACCACCACCACAACAACAACAACAACAACAGCAACAACACCAACAACAAAAATACAATAACATCAATAATAACAAAGAACAATAACAATAACTACAACAACCACCACCACAACCACCACCACAACCACAACAACAGCAAAAAATAACACCAATAATAACAACAAAGAACAAGAACAATAACAAAAACTACAAAGACAACAACAATGAACATCAGCAACGACAAAGAACAGCAACAACAAAGAACAACGACAATACATATCAACGACAACAAATAACAACAACAGCGACAAGAACAACAAAACAACAACTACGAACAACAACGAACAACAACAACACAAAAACAACCGACAACCAACAACAACAGTGACAGAGAAAAAAACGACGACAACAACAACAGCAAAGAGGAGCTACAACAACTAAGAACATCAGCAACAACAACAACAACCTGCTGCAAGGAGTCATAGGAAGTTCCCAACTTGGTCCCAGGTTGGCCGACTGACTGACACTCGGGCCCTTGCCGGAAACCTGACGGACGCCCTTCGATGACAGCATTCACGCCCTTCCCAGCCACGTGAGCGAGTTTCTGAACCTGGTGCCACCTTCTGGGTGAGTTCGCCACATTCTCTTTCGGGATTGCTTCGAACCACGTGGCGCGAACCATCGCCGTCCACTCACGCCTCACGCCTGGTTGGCGGGGTGAGTGAGTGAGCCTTGGTTTCGCGCCGAGGCGTCCGTTTGCTGAATGATTTGGTTCTTTCTTCTCACTGTCAAGGCGCGCCGGGGCCGTTCCGCATCCACGACCGGTGGGACGGACTGCCCCAGACATGAGCCCCCCCACCCACCACCCCGGTCGGCCGTTTTGAAGGCTATGGCAGTCCCATGGGTCGCGTCTGGGTTTTGGAAGCTGTTGGAAGCACTTGGCTTGACGTGGCGTAGTTGGAGTGGTGGTTTCTAGTGGCCCGGACTTTTCATGTCCAGTAAGAATTAAGAAGTGGCGGGTTCTCTTCATTCATGGCAAGTTGATCTTGGTACATGCTCCACTTCCAACGGTTCTTTTGACCTTCGTGCACCACAGATGCTGCCGATGCTAGCCCGGCCCTTTTCGCACCAGGCGGCGTCCAGCGCTCCGTTGGATGCTCCGAAGCACAAGGTCTTCGAGCAATATGAGTTCTTGGAGATCTTGCAGGTTGCAACTTGGCTGATCCCAGGGTCCCAGACGAAAGGGACTAGAGAAGAGTTACATACCAGGACCTTCCCAGTGACCTCTTCAGGATTGGTAAGTGACCTTTTCAAGGCCTAAGTGACCTCATTCTGGGATCTCAAAAGGTCACTGGGAAGGTCCTGGTAGTTTACATGTTCAAGTGACCCCAATGTAGGTATACGATTTCCCACGGTTGCAACTTGGATGAACACCTCAGTACCACTCTACGTCCGACGTGCACTGGGACCCCCAGACGTCTTTGGGACAGACGTCTTTGAGTGGGAACTCGTCGTGGGAAGTTCCAACGCGATGGGATGGCCAGGGGTTGCAACAAGCAATGAGTCAAACAGACCCCGGAGCCACTCCATGGGACTGCCAGTCCGGACTGCCGATCAGTTGGGGTGGTTTGGGGGGGTGAATGTAGGCATATATATGGCATACATGGAGTGTCTGGGTGTTGTCAAGACAGGTATAGTAGTGTATATATAATGATGAGTTTGTAAAGGTCTATATATGGCTAACCGGCTGGATTTTGCTGGGTACCGGCTGTGTGTGGTCACTTGGTTTGGTTGCAACGATTGATTTCAAGAAGGGTGGTCCACTCAGTCCAGTCCTTTGAGAGCTAGAGTAGGTCACCCTGACCGCGTGGGCGGTCATGAGTTAACCAGGTTGGCTGGTCGCTAAGAAAAAAGAAAAGGCCTTCAACTGGAAGATGGAACTCTTCCACAGATCTTGAACATTTTTCAGCACCTTGCCCCATTTTGAGCCAAATCATCGCATATGCCAAAAACCCTTGCAGAAGGAGCTCCGGAGGTAGATTTTCTTGGGGCATCTTGGAGCGTGAAGCTCCTGCACAGGAAGTGCTTCGACATGGTCCGAACTCTACATGAACTCGGGTCCACCGCGACGAAGGGGGGCTCGAACATCGAAAAGGATTCAGAGGTCGATTCAGACGATCTGTGAGCCACTCTATAAATCCTCCCTGTTCATGTTTAGTGGTGTGCTTGTTCCCTGAGCTGATTGGTGGATGTTCCATCTGTTTCCACTATGGATGCTTCCCTGGACCATCCAGACTCCAGGCATCCCCTCCACGAGTCGTCGTCCGTCCGTCTAGGGCCTCACCGACCCCCACCTCCGTCCGAAGCCGCTGAGGGGGAGGCGACCGAAGAAGGACTGCACCCACACGGCCGGACTGGCTCGCACCGCCGGACTGGCTCCGCGGGCGAAGCGGGACAACGAGACGGGTGGCTCCAGGTCTATGACCATGCAGTGAAGGCCGGTAGGAGGGGCGATGAGGGGCGCAGGCGAGGGGCGCGAGATAGGTCGGTGGTTCACGAGAGACGGAACTGGTCTGGAGTTTCAATGGACATGTTACTGTTCTATGCCTTGGTCAGAAAGTAGGCACCACAGATGGCCTTAACATGTTAGTTGATTAATAGAGGGGATCCCCCCCAAGTTGAGCGATCTTCAATATCCACCGCCTGGACCTGGACCTGACCCCATTTTCCACCCATTTCGCCAGGCCATGGCCTTTGGTCGTTGGAATCACTTTTTGCAGTTGGTCTCTGAGAAAGCCTTTCCCAGCGGCCACCTGCCCGATTTCGAGGATCCCAAGGTCGGGGTTTCCACCGCTTCAGCGGTCGGATCGTGGCGGGATGGGGGTCTGGGTCCCAGATTGGGTGACGCCCGGAAGCTGCTGGGTGGTGGCTCGGCTCAGGGCATGAAACACGGAGAAGTGCTTCTCATGTGCTACTGCTGAGGACTCTCTGGGCAAAACCGCAGGGCTTTTTGGAGTGACCAATGTATCGCTTTTTCTTCTCATGCATCCACGACAGGCATGTTGAAGTTTACTACACTTGACAGCTGAGTGTCGGAGACATTCCGTTGAGCTTTACAAGGGTTTTGTCCAGCCCAGTTTCATCAATTCCCACTACGCCCTGACCTGTTTTTGCCTTGCTTTCATGCCATTCTCCAACAACATATGGCAATGATTGGCAATGTGTGTGTTGTGTGGTTCTTTTTCAGGATGTGGTGTGGACTCGTCAGTGGAGTGGCACTGAGATGTCACAGAGAAAGGGCCCAAGATGTTTGAGGCCCTAGCAAGACCCACCAAGACCTACCCAGGAAAAGAGGAAGCTGGCTTGAACCTTTGAAGCTGTCATGAAAGGGATTTCTGGTCCTTCTCAGCAGGTGCACAGTGGGGTGAACCATCCTGAACCTGGCATTTTCCAGCAAACACTCTTCGGGAACCCGAAAAATCGATCGGAATTCTTCTGACTTCTCCCAGCGTCTTGGAGGCCCCCGGGCCCAGTTGGGCTCTCAAACCGATCTGACCAGACGGTTTCTTCAAGGATCATGCTGGATCAAAGACCTACCCCGGACGAATTCCTGGACCCAAGACCTACCAAATAACCTGCTGGCTTCTTTTTGGGCCCAGATTCTTCAGGTGGGGTTTTTGGGCTCGCTTTGAAGCACCCCGAAAAGGGCCTAGATAGGCACGCCGAAGCCTCTTCGGCCTCCTGCAGGCCCTGGGTGCGGGCAGCTTTGCCATCACCTACAAGGCCACCTACAAACCGAGTCCGGGCTGAGCAAAACCGGCGCCCGGTGCACTATGGCCGTAGCTGGCTGTTACATGCTGTAGCTTCGTTACTCACGGTGGGACGGTTTCGGGGGCCTGTGGGCGCCAGGTTCGGGTCCAGTCATACCGAACCGGGAGTCCGAAGGGCAGGGTGCGAGGCCGACTAGTGGCCGACTCTACCTGCGGGGGTGCGAGAAGCCGATTTGCCTTGGACGAAACGGTCTTCCAAACATGGTGTTTTTCGAAACATGTCGAAACTATATACCAGGAAAGCTTATGCCACTTGCTGACAGGATGGAGCCACTGGTGCCATGTCAAGGCAAGTCTTCTACTATCTTCTACTAGGGCCCCCTTTAGGCCCTTTAAGGGGTGGTGTCCAATTATAGCTCCTCAGAGGTGATTCGGGATCCACCCCCCTTTTGGCGGGGGCCTTGGTGGAAACCGAAAAGACATCACCTCGAGGCTCGCCTCGAGGGTTTTCATTCCAGGATTGAAACACACGCGGTCGCTCGACCGAGGACGGGCCAGGTGGTCGCGGTGAAAGTCTTCAAAGACAGTGCCGGTCTTTGGATCACGGCCAGTGCCGCGGCGGAAAAACATGTTCCTTTTTGCAGGACCCTCCAACAGGTCACCACCTGCCACTTTCAAGTTTACCAGTTAGCCTCCATTTCCGAGACCCGTGAAGTCAGGTGCTGGTTCACGGCCTGTTTTGGCTTGATGGATCTTGTGGGAATATGTGGGAATGACGTCAAACCGGTGATACAGCAAGCCCGCTAGACTGTACTCGTAGTTGTACTCGTATGATCTCGTATGTCATATCATGTCATATCCCTGTTGTAAAATCGCATGCTAATCCCAAATGAGGCTGTAAAGTGGGGCCTGGTGTTCTTTTTTGATCATCTCATTGGCTTGTTGAAACTATGCTGACAAATAGGATGTAGATGGATTTGGTTCCTTTGCGCACCCCACGTATCGAGTCCTATTTGGGCGGCAGGCATTGCTACCTCTTGGGGGTTTTCTATGCCTACGTTCACACTGTTCACGTTCTGATTCACAGCTTGTGATCGCTTCCCATCGAATTTGCCCGGCCCGACTTGGCCCGTTTCCATGAACTCCCAGCAAATTTCAGCTGGACTTGAATCCCAGGTGACTACGGTAAGTATGAGAACAATGCGAGGATCATCAACATGAGCAGAACCGAATGCGTGACTGAGACCGGGGACCAGCGGCGAGTAGCAGGGGAGATGGGTTGTGGAGACCGAGGATCTTGCATTTAATCCCTGAAACTCCAGTCGTACCTCCTCAGGTTCGGTTTGACGCTCTTGGCACTCACCACCAGTCCCGAGCCGAAACGAAGGCACGACTGGAGCCCAAACGGGATGTGCAACGTCGAATCGTGGACCTGTCCTATAGGTAGGTCAAAGCAGGATGAACTTAGGGATCTTAGGGAGCCTGAGCCTGCCCCAGGGAAGAAGACCTCACATCACTGTCAATCACGTCCCCCCCCCATGGCACGACGCCGGGTCGACCCGCCATGTCTCTCCACTCACCGGTGGTTCTCCCGTCCGTCGACCGGTCACGCGGTCGTCGAGGTGAACCTGCAGGAGATCCAACAGCCGCAATCACAATCAAAGGATCCGACCGGTTCCTCGCCCCTTGGAGTGAAGCTTTTGGAGGTCCTGAAGAAGACGGTGATGGTGGTGGCAAGAGGTGAGTCGGACGGTACCCTATGTAGTCATCACCCAGATACTCGGACTGCCATGGGACTGCTGCCCCAGACAGGCCAAACCCCTGGCCTGATCGGCAAATATCATCAAATACCATACATGGAGTGTTTGGGAGATATACAATACGAGTCGCTTTTCATGGTTCAGACTTGTGGGGAGTTGAGGTATGTTGAAGTCACTGATCTGATGCTGCAAAGGGTCACGTCAAATGAGGAACATCACATCCATATGCAGTGCTTCCCAGGTGTCGAAGTGCTTGCTTTGTGGGGGGATTTTGGTCGGCATGGGCCACGCGCCCACCCCACCAAGTGGAAGACCAGACTCTGTTTCGTTGACGGGGCCATGTATGTTCTTTGCTGGACATGGGTGCATTTGTCCAGGATGTCGTCTCGCTCTTCTAGATTTTCTAGACGTTCTATCTATGCCACAACTATTTCTCTACACGCCCGCCCGGCACATGTCGCTCGTCCAAACACCCAAACACACCAACCTGAGGCACGTGACGAAGTGCATCTATGATGGCATTACGATCCCCTTGCAGGGTCACTGGGCTGATTTGATCGGGTTCCATCGGGTTCCCTCAAGAGGCCCGTGGAAACCAGGGCCGTCTTCCGCAGCGGAAGGGCCAGCAGGTTCTGTCGAACTCGAGTGCTCCAGTGGCTTCTTCTCCCAAATGATCTATACCAGGACCTTCCAAGAGGTGTCTATAAATAGCCTCTTAGCTGTAAAGGGGGTGTCCAAAAACCACCTGTTGGAAGGTCCCTGTAGTAAACAAATATGGCCTACATTTGGCCGTTTGGGGTGGTGAAGGTTGGTCATATATTTGCCGACATGCACCCAACATGGGTCTCGTATCGAGATGCATGTTGGGTGGCCGTTAGGACCGTGAAGCAGTGAGCAAGCTGGCGTGTTCTGGGGCTTGCGGCCTTTCGGTTTCCCAGGTCCACGATTTGTACATTCTTGTGGTGTAGACGTGTGCAACGGAGTATCCAGTGTACATGTAGTATGGCACCATGAAATTGGACAGTCCAAGGAAAGTCTGGTAGGATCTGGTATAAGTGTTCGCACGAGCAGTGGCTAACCGCCCCTCATAAAATCAATCAATTCTGCGGGTTCCAACCGACCGACGTTTGTCGATGGCTTTGGCAAACCAGGTGGAAACCGCTCACATCACATGAAGTCAGGGAATGTCCAAGCATTTACCAGGAGACCCCTTCAGGGAAACCAATTGGTGGTAAGGGCTCCAAAACAACACCCCTTGCAGAATCATCTATATGTAGCTAAGGCGGTGAGGAATTTGAGAATGTGCCTTTGCACATTGTTACTTGGATGAATGATGGCTGCGTGGGTGAAGGACCCTGGAACTACCCGGCCGCAGCATCATGCACATCGGGAGATGGAATTGACTGCGCTTGGAATTTGAGAGTGGCTGGTGCCATGGCGGGCATCGTGTATTCCGCAATCCCTCGCAACACTACATAGCACAGCAGAAAGGGAAAAAGACACACATTGGCAGCTCCCAGGGTCATCCAATGGGTGTCCAATAGACTACCCTATACCTTACGTAAACAGGCTTCCAGCTCCAGGGCACCCAGACAGGAAGTGCTAGGTCAGCTCTTTCCGCTCTTTCCATGTTGCGAGGAGCTGTCATTCTTCGCTCACCGGTGCCACCGAAGCCGAAGGGCGGCCCCTGTCGGTCGACAAAGCACGCCACCGAAGGGCGGAACGGAGCCGATCCACCGGGAACGGAGTCGCAAGGGTCGGATCCTTGACAGAACGGCCTCCAGTCATAGCTTCGTTTCCGTGGGACTGGGGGCCGGGCTCAAGGTGCCGGGTCCCAGTCATACCGAACAGACTGGAGGTACGACTGGGAGGTGACAGCGGTGGTGCTCAACCAAGCGGTTTCTGGTCGTGTCCGTGGTTTGGGATGTCGGGGTTGTTCGTCCCATCCAAGGGCTGTGGATGTGACAAGGGGACACCCAGTGGGGCACACCCTATGCTCCAAGTTCGGCACCCCTTTGTGACTGCTGGTCTGAGACCCCCAAATAGATATTGATTTATTATATAGACATGTCATGCAGATCCCCACGTTCAGAATGTATAGGAATCCGTGCCACTATCTACGTATACGGGGACCACTCGAGTTGGGATTGGCGACGTTCCATCCGTATTTGGGGGGGAACTTCAGAGCCTGGTTAGTTGAGACCCCTAGACTTCCAAGACCATTAAAAAATTGGTTGACCTGAGACCTGGTGTTTGTTTGTAGTGTAAAATCCTTAGTTGATTCGGTATTCAGCCTACTAAATTAATGGTGGTTGGAAGCCTAGGGAGACAAGAGGCTGGGCTGGTCGATACTCTTTGAAGTGAAGTGTCCAATGCTCTTGTCCCGCGTCACGCGAGCTGTGAGGTGTTAGAGTTTGGGGGCACAGACGACCTGGACAAGTGGTGGGGAAAACAGCTGAAGCTGAAGAAAGCCAATTCGGACTATGTGAAGCTCATGCCACTTGACAAGATGGGGCCACTGGCGCCATGTCAAGGCAAGTCTACTATCTTCTACTACTGCCCCCGAAAAAGGCCCTTTAAGGGGTGGTGTCCAATTATAGCTCCTCAGAGGTGTTTCGGGATGTCCATATCCTGGTATTTAACAATACACAGATCTACGAAGCCCTGCTTCAGAGGCTTGGGCTTATTACAACGAGATCCGGCGAAGGCATGGTGCCCTATGCTTCGTTCTTCAATTGGCAATCCTACTTCCACCAGCAATCCCCTGCCTGCCTGCCTCTTTTCGGGCGGGCTTCAGGTCCGGGCCACGTCCGTTTCGGGCCAAGTGTGCTTTCCTTTTTTTTGCACGAAGTGTTCTGATATGTGCGGATGGTCCATGATGGTTCTTATTGGAGCCGCCGGAACATAGGGGTCTTAGTGTCATTGCCTTCCTGGAATCAGTGCCTTTAGCATCCTGCGGATGCCTGTGCTCTGTACCCTGAAGATGGATACCCATCATTACTAACTCTTTTGATTTCTTTTGTCCATCAGAGGCCCACGTGAACCTTGCGCGGCAATCGTTGAAATCTTCGGTGCAGTCTGCTCAGATAGCTCAGGAAGAAGGCTACGAAAGGAATGCTTGAAGGTCTACGGTTCTTGAGCGAGAGCCCGGGTGATGTGCAATGGGTTCCCTGGCACTGTGTTTCATCTCTGGGATCTTTCGAGATGCTCACAGAGAGAGAGAGAGAGATGTTAAGATACAAGCTCTTTTACAAGATGCACCTTGGATCAAAGGCCTTGAGCTTAGCCTAGCTCAGCCTAAGGACAGTTGCCAAGAGGAAAACAATGCAGACGTGCACAAACAAACGACAAACAAACAGCTGCTGAATTTTACAAGAGAGAGAGAGAGAGAGAGAGAGACAGGAGGGTGGAGGGGTCCATTGTTCGGGTTCTTCGTGACATTTCCCTCATCTCGAGCCCTCGAAGAACCTGACAGACCTAGCAGGACCTGACGTCCGATGGGCCCCCTGGGTCCGATGGTTTTCCTCCTACCAACCAGTGCCCAGACACGACCTGTCTGGGACTGGCAGGACGGACTGCCGCCCCAGACAGACCCCCCCCCCAGCACCACCCGGGTCGGCCGTTTTGAAGGCAGTCCGGACTGGCAGTCCCAGACAGGTCGTGTTTGGGGGTGGTTTTCAGGGTCCTTGGGATCGCCTGGCAACATGTTTGGTTTTTGGTCCACATATTTCAAGATGTCCATGTCGGTTTCTTCCATCTTTGGTTTGCAGGCTCGAACGTCTCTCTTCACGAATTCGGTCCATATTCAAGATCTCTTGGGCCCGGATCTCTCTTAGCTGAGTTTCTTGACGTCCGGTCTATCGAATGGCCAGGGATGTGAAAACTCCTTCCCTAGCCCTGCGACCACGGGTCGAGTAGGGCCATGCGCGTCGCGTGAGGTGCACCATGACTTGAAGCCTCAGAACATGGTCGTGAACGACCAGACTGCGGAGGTAGTTGTAGTGGATATGGGCACAGCCTTGAGCACCAAGAACGAGACTGCGATGCTGAGATGAGATTGAGATGAGGATCAGAGGAGGGCCTGGAGGAGAGTAAAAGAATAGAACAGGGATGGTTTTGGTGGTGAATTGGGCGGTGAGCTCTTTGGCAGGCAAAAAGAGAAGAGGAAGGGAGGAGGAAGAAGGAGACCAAGATGAAACAGCATGAAAAAGGACCAAACGGAGGAAACAACATGAAACAACAATATAAACACATGGTATCACCAATCAAACGGGCGCCCGGCGCTCCAAGCATAGAATGGCATAGAACTCACTTCACCCTGTTCCAACGGAGGTGCTTCAAAACTCCAAGAATCTCCTTTCGATCCTCGAAGGGTCTGCAAATTCTGACAGTGGCTCTTTACTACATCTCAAAATCGGATGTGTGGCTCTTAGCTTCGTACCAGTTGCTGTAACTGTTCTGTGCTTTCACTCAGGAAATCCGCCTGTACACCCTTTTTTTCGCCCGCCCTCCTTTGATCACTACGGCGTCTTCGAATCTGAGGTGGGGGTCGGCGGCGCAGGGGCGCTCCGATCGAAAGTCCTGCCAGACATGGGAGGTCGATGGAATCGGCACATCGAGGTGTACCCGAAACACTCGGACTGATCGGCTGCCGATCAGTTGGGGTGGTGCCAGCGGGGGTCCAAGTAGGCCATATATGGCAGTCCCAGACAGGTCGTGTCTGGGGTATTTGTTTCAAGAATCCTTTTGGCATTGCTCCTCACTGTGGACACACCAACCTTCAGGAATGTCCCACATCTTTTTTGTGCCAAGAACCCCAGTTCATTCACTGTTTTCAACGGCTCAGGTGGGCTTTCACCCACCGGTTTGGTCCTATGACATCTACTCTGCTGCCTTATCCATCTTTGGCATGTCCTTAGATGGAGACTTCTCCAGCGTCAAGGGCTTGGATGGCTTCTAGGCCGCGAGCTGGGGTAGGATCCGAAAGGAAGGGAGGATGGAAGGGTGGCCATCGCACTGGGAGTGGTGGCCACTAGCAGTCTCCTGGCCTAACTCACGTTGGTTTTCCAGATCGGTGAGATTGCAAAAACTCGAGGCTTCAGCTCAGGGATTGCGAAGCAACAGCAAAAATAGAGGGTGAATGTTGGTCATATTTGCCTACATGGATCGTTGGGATATAATTTTCCCTCACTTACACCTTCTTGGATCTGGGGCCCCCTGCTCTTGGCCTGACGGTTGACCCACCTTAGACACAGCTTATGATTTTTGAAATTATGTTACTAAGCTTTACTAATATCCGGCAACATAATGAAAATAATAGACAATAAAATATTTATCAGCCATTTTCTTTTTAATTATAGTAATTAGAGAAAATTGCTGATAAGAAGGACAAATCCATTATTGTCAGTTTTTCTTTAATGGATTGTTCCAAGTGCGCCATGTATACGTGTACGTCTTATCATGTATACGGTATACGTCTTATATCGTCTTATCATCCATTAAAAAAAAAACCATCTGTTTTTTTTTTCAATAATCGTTCGGCTCGTGTTTTGGCGACTGAGGTCTGAGTGCCATTCCGGTCTATCCCCTCATGCTTTACGTCAGTGTGCAGAATTCGCTGGCGAGCATGAGCGTGCCGGGGCGGACGGAGATGACGTCGGATGAGAAAGGTTTGTTCCACCTCAAGCCAGTGTGGGTCACACCCAGCACCACGGATTTCGGGTGGTCATTGGATGGAGACACCACAGATTTTGGGGTTTAGTTATATATAATTATGGACCATGCTGGAGATGTAGTTTCTATCCAATGACCACCCGAAATCCGTGGTGCAGGACTAGGGGTTCTTACTGTTTGTTTGTTTTTTTGCCACGGATAAGAATTGATATTAACCATCCGTTGCTCCAAACATGGGGAATCGCAAAAATCCTTAGCCTTAGTCGGAATCATGATGTATTCTGACAAATCATTGGTGATTGAAAAGGACTGGCTTAAAACATGGCTTATACAGTGGTTTAAATCCCATGATTGCGGGGAGTGTCGTGGTTGGTTCGGGCACCGGCCTGAGGCATTGAAGCAGGCCGGGGCGGAAGTGTGCGGAAAGGCTTGTGAGACCAGCCGGCCTAGGGCCCAGCCTGTTTGTTTTGGAGCTCTGCAAGCTCCCCAAAGAGTTAAAACGTTTAGGGAACAAACATACCAATAAGCAGGCATGTACAATACATGTATAGTATGCGCACTCATTTTGCAGGTACTTGTGAGACATACTGGGCTACACTTTATTAAAACATGTAAGACAAAGTTCCCAGCGTTGTGTGACGGGGCACGCAGAACACGGACATTCGACGCATCAACGCTGGTCATGGGAGGGGCATTCAATTCATGTGGAAATCCTCATGAAGTCGTGGCTAAAGGTGGTGGGAGCCGAATCCTTTTCCATGAGATTGTTCATGGCTTTGCGCGCGGAGTTCGCAGATTCAGAAGTGCGTCGGCCAGCGGCCCAACAAGCTGTGGTCCTGCACTGAGTTTCTTGGTGAAGAACTCGTGGTGATTGGGACCTTCATGTGGAAATGTTGAGTTGCTAGGTGCTTTTGGGCTAAGATGATGACTATATATATATATACAATATATGTCATTTTGTATGGGGCTCCAGCATGTTGACCACTCAGATTCAACAAGCCAGGGGCACTCTTTCTTGGTGGATCTGGGCCAGTGCAGCTGCAAATCCTGGTGAAATGGTTGCATTCCCTAGCGCTCCAGTCGCACCTTCTGAGAAAGTGGGACTGGGGCGAGTGCCAGGTGTGTCCAGTCATACCGGGAGGTACTTCGGTTACTTATGGAGCATCTTGGAGCACCTTGGAGCCCTAGGGATTGGGTGATATGTGGTTCTTCTTCACCTTGGGGGCGACCAGCAGGACGACCCTCTGTCACCTCGCGCAAGTGGCCCAAGTAGGTAACGTATGCGGTGCGGAGCCATGCGGAGCCGGCGCGATATCGGCTCCCGGGTCCATCGGCGTGAGCTTAATAAGTTCCAGTTAAAGGGGACAGAAGAAAAAAAAAAAACAAGAACCCTAGGGCTCCAGTCGTACCTTCTCAGAAGGTGTTTGGGGTGGGTTGAGAGGGTCCAGATACCGAACCTGAGGAGGTACGACTGGAGCCCTAGGGGAAATGATTGGAACTCTCAGGTTCCTCGTTCCAGTGCCGCGCAGGAGCGCCACATCGTTTTCGAGCGCCCACGTCGTTTTTCTTCCATTCCGCGTCCTTGCAATTCCCGCGTTTCAGCTTGCCCTGGATCAGGAAGCTCTTCAGAGATGCTTGGATCCAGGAGCATGACAAAGGCATCAAGAAGATTCAAGAAGCTCAGCTTTTCCAGACGAGTTGGATGGAGCCTAGCTGACCCGGCATGTGCCTGACTGCCAGACTGACCCACCCGGCAAGCTGTCGTGTTTTTAGGCGGGTTTGAGTGGACGGCAGATTCAGAATGCTAGGAGATGCTCCAAACGGATGAACTACCTTTTGGGAATAGAATAGAACATTACCCTACTGTACTATAAGTCAAGTATAACTACTATATGATACGCAGAACGACCATTATATATAATATAATATATATAGATAGATCTGGAAGAAGTATATCTCATACAGTGCCGGCCAGCCCAGACTAATCATGGCCTGCCAGCAGACCATTGGGCTTTTTCTCTTTTTGCAAGTGCAAGAGGGGTAACCCCAGATACCCTAGTGGGGTGGGTGCAAGGAGGGTCCAGTCATACCGAACCTGAGGAGATATATGACCACGACCTTTTCGTACGCCCGTGTTCGTGACGTTAACTGACCACCCGACAGGTCAGGCCTACTGACCTCACCTGGAGTTGATCACAGTGAGTCCCCATGAGTCCCCTGATCTCCCAACCTCCACACAACGGCCGGCCTGGCGTCCACAGAACTGCACGCCCACGCCCGTCCGAGGAGAGCTCCGGTGATGCGCGCAAGGCAGCACTGGCAGCGGTCGTGAACTGCCGGCGATGGAAGGGCAACCCAGGCGCCCGGACCTCGCACCCTCCTGCACCTCCCTAACCACCTGCACCTCCCGTACCCTCCGTTGCAGCGGTTCGGTTTGGTCCACTGGACCCGGTTCCATGACCGTCCCCACCGAACCGAACCGATCTTCGAAGGTGCCAGAGACGTGGTTTTCTGCTCGGCCCGAGCGAGACCGACCCTGTGTGGTCGCCAGAGGGCACAGATTCTCCCAGCTCGTGTCGCTGTCTGGGACTGCCAGACGGCCGCCCCAGACAGACCTTCCTGGCACCAATTCTGGCCGTTTTGAAGGTCCGATGGCAGTCCCATTAGTGTTTAGGCACTGAACCCCCAAAAAAGAGACTTCTATAGAAGTTGGAGTGTCTTTTAAAGACGCGTCTTCGTCTTTTTCTCCCGTTCTCTTTGGTTGTTTTGTGAGAGGTAGGCAGGTAGGTGACCGGTAGGTGGGAAGGCAGGTCGCAGGGCATTTACTGGCACTGGAAGCTCCTAGTATAGGCCGTCTTTTTCACAAATCCATGGCCCTGACCGACCTGTGGCTCTTTAGACGATCGTGTGTGGCCGATCGATGCACCTGTCACCCTGGCAATCCGTCCGCGCCCGCGGTCTTGGACCACAGAATCCGTGCCTGGCGACAACAGGTGAGTTCATTTTGCAGCCCTTCCCGGGTGAGCTGCCTCCGACTCATACTGCGGCGCCTCGGCCGGCCTCATTGAGGGCCCAGGGCATCCATCTTGATACCCTAAGGCTGCAGCTATCTCTTGTCTTCGCTCGTTTTGGTGTTTTAGTATGATTAAGACCCAACTACTTTGACACTAACTAAGAATTCACCATGACGATTCTAGCCCCCATATTTATTAATATTTGGTGCATCTTCAGCTTAGTTCGCGTGCTGAGAGGCTCATGTGCAGCAGTGGCGCAGTGACGTGAAGCTTTACCCCTTCCCCCCTCTCACCAACAAACATGGAAGCCTATCGCAGACCCCGCTTGGAACAAGGAACATGCCTATCGCAGGAGCAATGTTTCCACCACTTCGCTGGAGGGAGACTGGGCCGGATCTTGTGGCTGGCGCCTTCAAGTCTCTGAAGCAGGTGCCAGATCTAAGCTACCCTCCGCCTGTCACCCCGCAAGAGACCTCCCTCCGCCCTCCTATAAACTCTCCCCCCCGTGCTTCTTTTGTTCAAGTGAGTGACGCACTGCATGGGCCGAGGATTTCTTTTGGACCTTGGCAGATGATTGGAGACTTGGCCCCGAACTGCTTGTCAGCTGTTTGCGGTCACTGCTGGCGTCGTAGGATCAGCTGTGCGGCCCAAGACTGATCAGCTGGCGTCATGTGACAAAACTGCAACGGCGGAGGTTTTGGAATGAACGGTTTCTCCCAAGCTTCTCCCCAGTGCTTTTAGGTGACGTTGAGCCTGACCGCGCGAGCCGCGCTTGGAGGGGAAAAGCCAAGCTCCCCAGTCGGGGTCTTGGACACGAAAACGAATGATTCATGATACCCTAGGGCTAACAAGTACCTGCTCAGGTTCGGTATGACTGGACTCGAACATGGCACCCGGGCCCCCAGTCCCACCTTCTCAGAAGGTACGACTGGAGCCCAAACGGGATGTTCATGTAGGCGTGATTGAGGCCGAAAACGAGGCACAGCGATCACGCAGCGGAATGGCGAATGTGCTCATTCATGGGCTGATGTGATTACATTTGTTCCACCGTTTCCACACGTGGAGCCGAGAAAACAAAAGAGCTCATTGTTCGCGATAATGGGTTTGTTTTTAAATCGGTGATCGGTGTTTTGTACTTCTTGTGTGGTTTGGCTATTGTATTCTTGGTATAACTCTGCCTTTGTGGTACTCCATCGAATGTGTGTGTGTGTGTGTTTGCACGTCCCTCACTTGGGAAGAACAGGGGTTGTGCGAATTATCAGGTGGCCTAGCGGCCTAGGCCTAGCCCACTTGGTCTTCACTTGTTGGGGGTACCATGCCAGCTGGCACATGAAAATAGCTACGACAATTGTGCTTATGACCACCCCTTAGGGAGCCCTGGTATTATGATTCTATTTGTTTTTCCAGCTCCTTGACCGCAGAATGTGAGCAAAACAGGTTTCCCTATAGACTCCTCCATGAAGGTGTAAAATCGGGCTTTCCACTTCTGGTGTTTTCAGGGTGGGCTTCAGTCCGTGGCAACTCGCGCAAACCACCAAGGATGGCGACAGGCTTCGATGAGGCACTGTACAACACTGCATTTGCCGCGGAATTTTCTGCTGCACTGGTGAGTTGAATCTTCTTAGACCCTTCTGACGCAGTTGAACTCTCATCGTGAAGTTGAATCAAGCCGACTCATGTTCCTTTTCCAGTGATGCAACATGATGCAACCCAGAGGGTTGCATCACATATTCTAGAACATTTGACTTTATAAGGCTGGTATACTTCAAGACATGGAACATGGAACATCGGGTGCATGGTCCTTTCCAAGGAAACTCTTGTTCATGGTCTTCGCAGGTGTTCTTCGAGCCGCGGGGCTTGGGGGAGAAAAACCTCCCAAGCTCGAGCCAACAGACTGAAACATCAGCAGTTGAACACATCAAGGCATGCCATGGTCTTTTTGCGGAGAAGATCTTGTGAGGTCACCTCATCTCCAAAGGTGTGTAGTAGAGATATCTCAAAGTCTTGCACCAGTGCACATGTCTCCAGATTTTCAATGAGGACCTGCTGGCGCAGGTGCTTTGAGAATGTGTTAGAAGCCTGACAAGTGTTTTTTTGGGGCACTGGACTGTCACCTGGCATCATTTGTTGGAGGGTCCAGGAATGAGGGTCCCAATGATAATTATTTTTCGTCCATTGTCGGAGTACACTGTAGATGACATGGAGTTGAATTCTATTCCCTAGGTCTCCAAGCACATCCTCAAAAGGTACACCCTAGAAACCCACTCCAGCCACCTTCTGAGGATGTGGAGTTTTGGGAGTTTCACAGACTTGGTCAACGAAATCAATTCCCGAAGACCCATGTGACAAGTTCCCACTGGTCTCACCACTTGGACGTGCCAGCTCTTGGTGAAGATGGTCAGCACCCTGGCGAAGCAGGCGCTCGTTGACATCTTGAGATCTCTAGATCGTCCGTCCGATGGGGAGGACTCAGGGGAAAAGCCGTTATGAGAGGTCTCACTCCTTTGATTCCCTTATTTTTTGTGCGTTGTGTTCACGTGAGTCTTTTCACGGACACGTTGTAAACGTGCGAAAACCGTCTGCCCTAGAGCTTGGTTTGTGAAGACGAAGATGGATCTCATGTCCACCTAGGGTGTGTCCCATTACCACTCTGTCATGACAGTCGTTATAACATCTTTTGGACAACGACCATTACTTCATCATCCGCCGGGCCCTCTGTCCATGGGATGTGGCCCCACCATGTCCACCCCAGGTTTCCCCACACAACCAAAACCGCCACCGTATGGGTCCCCTTTGGGGCCGCTGGGGTATGTGGGTTTTTTCCGCTCCGGGCCCTGAGGTTCGAATCCTCAAGAACGCCCCAGGCCCAGCGAAGTCTTAGAACCTTGGCGGAGCCTTCGGAGGGATCTTCGCACAGCGCAGACGAATCGGATTCGGCCATTCCTCTCACTGAGAGTCCCGAGTTCTGGTATTGGGTCGTCTGGTATAATGGGGTGGGGGATGGCGGGAGGCATTTGGAAGCAAGAAGGCTGAGGTTCTGTTTAACTGCTTTGGTGATGCATTGGCTTTGGCCGTTTCGACCCTGAGTCACGGGCTGCCCCAGTTGACCAACGTCACAGCTAGCTGTCGCAGGTCGTCAGGTCCAACATCAGCTGGTCCTGGCCGCCTGGCCTCGGAACCCTTCAGCTGTTCCATAAAGTTCGGTCCAACAAGAGGCTAAGCGGCTTGTGGTGTTTCCATTGAGGCGCCTAAGGCGAGGTACAGAGAAAAAGGTGTTATGAGTCATAGATGTTTTAACAAATGCCAGCAGCGAACCCAACAGGTCTCCGAAATGGAGGGTCGGAAAGGGCCCTAACAGTAACAGGTTTCAATTGGTGACCCGTTGGAGGTGCTTTTATATTATAATATTATATAAATATCATATCTTATAATCTTATATACAAATATTTAGATATGCATTCAATCAACAGCAGTTTCGTCAGTTGAGGATTTCCCACTCCTTGAGTTGGTTGGCTCGATGCCGCACATGAGGCTTGCGCTTGTTTCACGGCCGGAGTGCCAGGCAACTGTGTTCACATCAGCCATTTGTTGGACACCGACTTGCTTGCTCCGCCGGAGCTAGTATGAGCTAGTGGGTACCAATTCACAAGGGCTTCCTGCTACTCCCACTGCACCTATACTCACTTGTTTGCAGATGGATCAGTCCTCTTTGAGACCCGGCCGGACGGTCGATGTGCCTAGGAATCCAATTGGTTCAAGACAGACTCTGCCTCTCGTTTGCGGTTGCGGGAGGTCAGTGGGTCTGTGATGAGTTTGTTGTAGGTGTTTAGGGCACAAAGGGCAGGTTCGACCTTCGAGTTTGGGTGTCAAGCGCAAAAAGAGTTCAAGACCTCCACTAGCTGTTGCCCAGGAGGGGGCAATTGGGCAGCCGGGGCCAATATATTCCCCATTGAACGGGTAGCCGCAGGTAGCCGTTCAGAGCTAGGTTGGGAGTTCCCCAACCCGTTGCTAAAAAGCGTGATCAAACGATCTCAAACGATGTCCCAGACACTCCATGGGACTGCCATATATGCCTACATTAGGGTGGTGTTGGGGGGTCAATGTAGGCATATATGGCAGTCCCATTAGTCGTGTTGGTGTGTCCAACTCTCAGACCACCACGCCACCGTCCCTGTGACAGCATGGCGTCGAACATCGCGAGAGATTTCACGAAGATTAAGTCCCCAAGTGTTTTTTGCATATAGACCCCCCCAAATAGATAGAAAAGTACAATCACTTTCAAAAAGTACCGGAGGCCTTTTTATTTTATTCTCTCTCTCTCTCTCTATATGGGGACCATTGGGGACCACTATATATTAATATATATTAATATATATTAATATATAATTTATATATGTGTTTTGTGCTTCATCCCGAGTTTTCCCCCCCCAAGCCCAAGCGCGATGCGCGCCATGCGAGCCCTAAGGTGACTGAGCAGGGCAAACCTGTGGAGTACACTTGCCCAGAGATGCCAGTCTTTCGGATGCGAGGGCGTGCGCGATCCAGGGGAAACAAGTGAAGAACAGGCCATCGCCCTTAGGATGGAGGCCATCACTACTAGCGACGGCCTCCATCCTGAGAGCCATGGCCTCCAACCTACTAGCGATGGCCTCCATCCTGAGAGCGATGGCCTCCAACCTACAACTTCAGGTTGACATGTGTTTTGGGTTTGGCATGGCTTAATCACCTTCAGCCAAACGGTGATTCTCCTCACCTTCAGCCTCAAGCCAAACCCTCAAAACCAATCGAACAGTATGCCAACCAAAGTGTTCATATGTTTTGTTCTATCGCACGATGCTTAGGGCAGCTTCCATGGGATACTTGTTTCAACTATTGTGATGCACATCGATGTCCAACGGGGTTTTTTTCGTCCCAAATGGAGAGCGACACTCAACTCCTCAACATCATATTCTTTTCTGTCAATGTTTGCATCCCAAATTGGCCTGTCGCCTTCAATTTGCTCGTCATTCTCCACTGGATCGGGTGCACATGTAGCCGCTCAGCCTACCAAACAGTGTTGCTTGGACGCTGGGTTGTTAGCCTTCTTGTACTTGAGCCTCTCAGCCTGCTTCTTGTCAAACCTTGCCGCCCTTGAGGTGGCAGATTTTGCCGTGCTTTCGAGCAACTTGGGCAGTACAGGTCGACGACCAAACCTGGAAATTGGACGAAGAATCTATGGTTCTGGGAGTTGGCGGTCAGACTAAACAACATCCAACAAGCCCTGACTGGCAGCCCTGACATCCCTGACTGACCGAGGTTTTTGATGGAAGAAAGGAGCTTTAAGCTTGTTAGCGGCTAAAATCTAAAACATGCTAAAACCATATTCCTATATCTCCTTGTCAGGGCATTGATCCTGAATCGCTCAAGCTGAGAAACGTTCGACTCCTTTTGGTGGTGTATTCTGCACCGAATCTGGGATGGATGGTGGCTCAGATGGCAACTGCAGCTCCAAGTTTCTGCTTGAATCCTTTCCAGACCATACTCCAACCTCCTCAGCATTTTAAAGTATTTCAGAGGCTGGTGAATGGAATGTAAGAACGGCATTATTACTAAGCTAATTTCTTCCAGATTCCATTTTACTTCCCGTCCTTTGCCTTTGAGGCGATGAATTGACTTTGTCGGTGTGTTCCCGAGGTTTCTACTCCTCAGTGGTTTAAATTGTTTTTCGAACAGGACGCGTGCGGGGACAGATTCGGCTCTTGATGATCTTTGGATATCTTTAGGATCTCCACCGCCAGAGGCGCATGCAGGCGCGTGTGCATGTTACTCCACCAGTGCCATGACATTTTCTGGGTCTCCATTTCAATGACTGCTTTGTGGGGTTGAAGGGTTGCTAGCTCAGGAGAAAAGCGACGACCCGTGAAGCAGGAAACCCAGGGAGCTCTCCAACCCCAGCCAAAGATGGACTCCCCCCCGTAGGTGTTACCACAGGATACAGTGACCCATGGTGACATAGGTTCTTCATTTAGGGTAGTGACTAGTGGGGTCTCCCCTACAGCCCACCACCGCTCCCACTGGGGGCCCAACCGGTGACTGAGGTATGTTCACTGCCACTGGGACGGGAGAGGGTCTCGTGCCGCGTGCCACCCCTGACACCGCGGGACGATGGAGGGCGCCCCCAGCCGACATCAGGTGAACTCACTCCACTTCCGATTTCAAACAGTGTGAGGTCTTATGGGTCTTCTGGGTTGAAAACGCTTGGGAAGTATGTCAAAGATTTGGCTTAAACCCTTGGAAAGGGTTTGGAATTGCAGCTGCATTGGCATAACAGATATGATATGTCTGGAAACGAGCCTTGCTAAAGTCTGGCAATTAAGACGACGTGTCTAATCAACTTTAATCATGTTTTGATTTGATTGCAAAACGAAGGGTGCCCCCTGACCAGCGTGTGCACTTTGCAACACTTGGCCAAACTAAGGAAAGAAGCACTTGAGAATTGAAATGAACCTAGGGAGGGAAAATATGTGGTGACTTTTGCTTGGCTATAGCTGTGTGATGATTGGTGCTCACGCACTGGCAAACACCAGATCCATTCGAGGTCGTCCATGTCTTCTCCTGTCTCACCTGCTGCGTGTGCTATGGTGGGACATGTCTCACAGCCAGGCATGGGACGCGTGGTCCGCGCGGCCTGGGGGGGCAGTTGTTGGGAGCTTTTGAGGTCGGGTGGCAGAGATGGATCATTGATTCCAAGACTTGGTTTGAGGGAAAACCTGCAGGAATGCAATAGTTTGAGGGATGAAGGTTCAGGGTTTCCTGCATATGTTCCTGTAAACCAATTGATTCATTGATCGTTCAATCCTGAGAGTCTGGGAGACGTTGATCGTTCGATGTCCACGACATCAAGTCGCGAGCGAGCGAGCGAGCGAGCAAGCTCCGCGGGGCTGGAGAGACGATCCGAGGTGTAGAGATCTACTGGGTTGTCTGGTGTTCCAGGGCTGAGCAACTACCAGGAGTCACATGTCGCTCGGGGTGGTGTGGCTCCTCCCATGGATAGCACCCCGACATGTGACTGCTGGTGTATGTGAGTTCTTGCTTTAGGTACCGGAGGATGGTGAAACAAAGGTGCTTTATATGCCAGTGGCTCACTGCCTCTCTCCCTACTGGGCGATTCTCGGAAGGTATATTACTATACTGGAATATTCTGGAATATTTGGCAGACACTCCATGTATGGCATGTATTGATCTACATCCCTACAGTACTACATGTGTCCCTCTTCCAACATCCCCCAAGATCAGATTCAAGCAGCAAGGTTTAGCAATCGAAAGGCCATAGTCCATCATAGTTCTCTTAGAGATCTTACCCTACACCTCCAAGCACCTCCTTAGAAGGTAGTTGGACCCTCCTGGCACCCACCCCAGTCCCACCTTTTCAGAACGACTTCTTCGGCCAAACGGGCAAGTCTTCCCCACCAAGCAACGACGCACGACCCTGCACGGACTCCGAAAACGCGGCCTACGCGGCCGCACCGTGCAGTCGCCTGGCGGTGGAAGCATGGAAATGGTCCATGGCCTGGGGGGGGCCTGCTGACCCTCGGCCGACCAATAATCGGCGGCTCGCGTTGGGTGGCGACAGCGCGTTCGACCCCATTCCTCTCTTGAAATAGTACTACGATCCGTGGGGCTTCCTTCAAGAACTGGGCGGCCCAGGCGTATTTCTGTGCACATGTGGAGATATCCGAAATCAGCTCTATCATAGGTTCTCGCACCCCACGTCACCTCGGTGATGTTCTCCCAACAGCGATCACAACATCATCTCCAACATGCATATATGTTCCGGAACTGGCAAACCTAGGTTTCAAAGAGGCCTCAGTTTGGTTAGCTGTTCTCATCCCTGTGTGTTTGTACAGTGGTTTTCAAGTAAGTAGATGGCACGGTCCACCCCCCATGATGTCCACAGATGGGGCTCCACATGGCTCCACTGACCTATTCGGACCCTGACAGTGTCGAGGTTCGGATGAAGCAAGAAGTTCGGTCCTGGTTGAACTGAACTCCGGATGTCTTCCGCTCGGAGGAAGACATCGATCGATCCATTCTCAACAGGAGTAACAGGTGGAGCATTCTGCCAAAGTCCTGTTTGCAACTTTAGGTGTCCCCACTCCAAAGTAACAGGTGGAGCGTTTTCTTGGGATATCGCACCGCTTCAGCGCGGTGGAAGCGCACAGATTACATGGGTAAATGTATCGGTAGCACCCCACAAGGATACGGGATGATACGGGTTGGTTATTGGTGTGGGAAGAAGCAACTTGTGCTGTCGGAGCCGGTCTGTCTCGGTCTGTCTGTAGTCTGTCTGTCTCGGTCTGTCAGTCTGCCTCGGTCGGGACACTCGGACGAACACACCCACGATCTCAATAATGCAGTCTTCCCCGGGCTGCATGCCCGGCATCGCGAAAAGACATAAAAAACATACCAATTCTCGGGCAACAAAACGTCCCCAAGCTAAAGCTGAAGCTGTTGATCTAGCAGCTGTTCTTCCGGTTTATGCGAAGCCTACACAACGCCTCAGCACCTTCAGTGCGGATTTGGTTAACTGTGATTGCCCCACCAAAAGGACTGCTTGGGGATTTTCATGGATCTTTTTCAGCCGCGAGACGTTGTTGGTGCTCGAAACTTCTCCTCAACCGCTTTGACGAAGCCACCAGGTCACCGGTGTAACACCCATCATGACGCCCAGGATGCTCCTCAGCCCCTTCGTGGCGCGCATGACCACTGTACTTTGGTCTTGGCAAGGGGGGGGTAGTTCGAGCCTCTCCAGGAATCGAGGTGTAAAATGTTTGAACACCCGTTTCACCATGTTTCACCATGTTTCATAGTAGATGCCAACTAGTTCTTCTTGTTTTCGGCCGAGGTGTGGGTGGGGAGCCTTCTATTGGCCCTTTTGTTGACAGACTGTTGGGGGGGAACTTCATGGGATTTTTTGGGCCGCAAAGAGGCGCTAGCCAAAACAGCCCAAGAGACATTTACGCCCTGGAAAAAATAACATGGGCTGAAAACCACTGGGCTGTAGAGGACAATCGTCTTCCAAAGGCCACATTTTCAGGTCCCATCCTTTTGGAAACCACCCGACCTGGGGGAGGTCCTCGGAAGGTCTCTCCTCCTGGATTTCGCCCAAGGCGAAATAAGCGACGTTGGGGACCAAGAAGAAGGGAGGAAGACGTCGTGTTAGGTCGAGTGACCCAAATGGGGGAGATTTTTGCTAGTATTCTTGCTATGGTTTAATGACCTCATGACTAAACACGAAACAGTTGAATGTTCCATGTAGCATTGGGCTCAAACGTGGTATGCCCACCTGTTCCACTTGTTCTAAGTGGAACCTTCTCGCCGGTCGCTGCACGGTTTGCGGGAGTGCAGACCGGTTGTGGGCGCTCATCTCGAGTGATCGTATTCCTCCCACTCGTGAAGCGGAGGCAAAGGTCACTAAGATCTTGGACACTGCCTTCTACTCCGTGGGGCGCCTTGTACAAGAAGAAGAGGAAGAGGTAGTAAAGGGAGAAAGGTCTCCCAGCAAGGGCTCCAAGGGAGAGAAGTCTCCTAAAGTAGAAGAGGCTGAGAGGAGTGAGAAAGGCAGAAAGATCAGAGGTGAGGAGAAGGCCAAGAAAGCAGGTCCAGAAGAGGAGAAAAAGAAGTCAAGAGAGAAGGAAGGAGGTGCAGGAGGAGTAAACGCAGAGAAGAAGGAAGCTCCCGCGAAGGGTGTATACGTGGTTGAGGAGAAGAAGAGTTTGCCCAAGAGGAAAGAAGAGAGCAAGTCGAAGAGGAGCAGATCAAAAACCCCGAGGCATCAGAAAGAGAAAGAAAAGAGGAAGGACAGGAAGAGAGATTCCAAGTCAAGATCTGTTAGCGGCTCTGCAGTAAGAAAGAAGAAAAGGGAGGATTATATCTCCCAAAAGCCAGTGTGTGAGGAGATTCCCGGTTCCGCCAAGCCTAGCAATGGGATTCAGAGAGAGACCTACTTGAGGCCAAGGCCAAGCCGTCGGGAACCTAGGTCGCCGAGGACGCCAGATCACCCACCACCGCGAGTGCCACCTGTTCAGCCAGGAGGAGGTCGTGGAGCAGCTCAGGGCTCAGGGTGGCGAGGAAGCATCCCTTATTCTCATCACCCGCGTTGGACTGAGAGTACCAACAAGGGGATAACCAAACGCGCCAAACAGGAACTGCACGAAAGGAAGCAGTACAGAGGGCGTTGGTGAAGGGAGTTATGGCTCCCAAGATGAGAAGACCAGCATCGGCCTTGACGCGAGGGAGATCTATGAGGAGACCAGCAAGGGGCCGAGCAGAGGAGGTTGAGGAAGAAGAGAAACCAGTGGTAGAGGAATATCATCCGTTGGCATCATTGACTATAGACATTTTGAGGAGGCTTGACATCATTGAACTTGGAGAAGCTTCGCACTATGGGGGGGCATGTGAAGGTTGCAGGGCGAGTTGTCGGCTTGAAGCCCAGTGAGGAGGAGATGGATTTCGAGTTGACAGGAACCTTGACGGATAAGATCCTTGAGCGCTATGGAGGAGGCGGAGCCCGAAAAGTTCGAGTCCATGTGTGCCCCAAAGAGTGCGGGCAGCTGACTACGGGAGATGGCTATTTCCATGCCAAGGGGTATTGGAACGCAGCTATAGCCTCGAAGCCTTGGCACACAAATTTGATCCCGGCGAAGGGCAAAGTTGACGAGGAGGTTGATGAGCTGGCAAGCTTGAGGGAGATGGCAGCGGCTCGAGGCAAAGGAAGGGGAGGTGAGGCGCCTCCCAAAGAGGTTGACAAGCCGGCTAAGGAGGGTTCTGAGGAACAGGAGGCAAAGAAGAAGAGAAAGAAGAGGGAAGAGGAAAGAGCGAACAGCCGAGAAGGAGTTCGATGAGCTCCTTGCCAAGAAGGAGGAGGCTGAGGAGCTGGAGAGAGGACAGAAGACAGCCCGGGCGATCTTTGGACACACGTGCCTTGATCCGAACGTGCCACGGAGGAGGAGATTGATGAAGAAGGCGCGCCGGGTTAGCAAGAAGAAGGAGAAGAAGAAGAAAAGATCCGAGTCTAGTGAGTCAGGTTCATCCTCTTCTTCGAGCACTGAAGACAAGACAGGGTCGGAGGAGGACGGACCGCTCTTCGAAGAAACCCGGAGGGTGCGGAAGTTGAGCGAGCGTTGTCCTGGGGCG